CTGAAAGGAAGAATGAGAGAAGAAGTTAAGTTTATCTGTAGTTTCATTCATGTCTTCATCTACATCATGTATTAAATGCTTCATTTTATCTCCATTAAAAATGCAAGTCAGAATATTCAGAAATAGCACCGAGTCTAACTGACAAGAGTATAAAGATATACTATGAAACGTTATGATGAAACCAACCAAAATTCAAGAAAGTCAGTATACTTATGAATATCCACGACACTGGGTAGAGTATGTAGGAGGTGAGAAAGCTATTGAAATCAGACAGGTTCGAAGTATTCCAGCAGGAAGAACAATATTATTGAAGAACTTTAATTTTTTGAGATATAATGATGAAACAAAGAAGCAAGATAGTTTTTCCTGTTGCTGTGTATGTGAACCTAGACACAGGAGATGACATGAAAGTTTTTAACACAAAGCTTCAAACGGTAGTGAGAGAACAACTTACTGCGGAAGGACATCCATTACTTCAGAAGTTACCATAGCATATAATTTTGAAACAAACTCAATAGATTTTAAAGTCATCTCTGCAAGAGTCAGGTTTACATTTAATGAAGCAGATGTATATTCGAATGAAAACTTCAAAGCTATTGCATGGTTAGATAATGACGATTGCTTTAAGAAAATTTTAAATAGTGACTCAAAGATGTCAATAGATGACCTTGTGGAATGTTACCATCGACGTTTACAGTTAAAGGTTCAGCAGGATTTGCTTACAAGATTGTCAATTGGTGGCATTTGGTCTCGTGGAACATTGTTATAAAAATCCAGTATAAGTGAATTTGCTGAGAATCTATATTATGTCTTTCAAACTATATGTATTCGCCGCCAAAGCATTATAGTATAAACTTTGTCAGTAAGTTTAACATAAGACTTGTCGAACCTTCTTCAATGAAAGATGTTGTGCTACCTAAAGATGGAAAGGATGGACTCATTATTGAGATGATTTTAATAGCATATTAAATGAGCTTGTTCTTGAAGGTCATTCATGATGAAATAACTGTTGTAGAAGATGTTAGCAATTGTTCAGACATTTTTGAAGCGTATAGATGATATAAGAAAGAAGTTTATGAATGAGAATGTTTATGTTTCATTGACTTTCTCCAGTAATGAGAACTTTTATGAGATAATGTTGAAGAGAGATGATTTTAATATGGTGTAAATGGTAGCTTGGGCAGCTTTAGGCGCAATGGGAACAAAAGCATTAGCGTTTGGAGCAAAAGCACTTGGAGCTTATGACGCAGTAAATAAAATGAGTGGAGGAAGGGTTTTCGAAGACATTAGATGCAAATAAAGGAAATTGGAGGCTGGGTTGCAAAGAAGTTAAGATTAAATAAAATAGGGCTCATAAATAAAGCATCCAATTTGGTTGCGACTGAGTCAGAAAATGCTTTAGGAAAGGACGATGAGTTTGCAAAACACGCAAAAGACTTTAATGACCAGATGAAAGGTGAAACAATGCATTTAAATAGAGTCGATGGAACTAAAGAAAATGTTTCTTCTCCACCAGCGGTTTATCCATACGGACCTATGGAATGTATGGAAACCCTTATGAAACGACCATTTGACCCACTGACTGGTGGAAGTAACTGGTATCATTACGGCCGAAGAAGAAAGACAGTCAAGTTGGAGACAGACGTGAAGAAAGCAACTAAAAAGAAACCAAGGAAGAGAGTTATAAAGCAATGAATTCAACAGGGTAGAAATGAGGTTAAAATCGGTAGATATACCAATCTACCCTAAATTTATTTTTGTGCTATGTTTTCATACGCGTGAAGGTAGTGATATCATTAATTTTTAAGTTTATTTTTATATAAATGACGAAAACTATTGAGATAACAAACTACAACGGTCATGAGTTCAAGAATTTGTTCTTCGTTCCTCGTGAAAATACATTCTATCAGATACGAGGGAGAAAGGGTAAAGTTAGTTTGAGCGTTTTACGAAGGAATGAAGAATGGAAAGTTTATACAAGCATACGATACAAACGGTAAACGTGTTTCATTAGCTTTGTCAAAACTTACTAACATTTATTTTGACAGTGACTTTGACTCTGACGATTGGAGCGACAGCAGCGATAGACTAAGAATATGAACTATTGTGTGAAGCACAGCAATGGGAAGAGTTGCAATACTTTTGTAAGTGAGAACGTTTATTTTTTACAGTAGTGAAGTGAAGTGGTTGGTGGTTTTGTAAATATTTAAGGTTAAGTTAGTGTTGTCGTTTGTGTTGTAAAATATACGTTAACGGTTTTGTAAAGTGTCAAATTCACATATAATGGGTAAGGAGGCTCGCAGTGCCTCCGTACACAAGATATGTATACTAACTCTGCTTCATTAAATGTAAAACCTGACTTCTTTGCAGAGATGACTTTAAAATCTATTGAGTTTGTTTCAAAATTATATGCATGGTAACTTCTGAAGGTAATGGATGTCCTTCCGCAGTAAGTTGTTCTCTCACTACCGTTTGAAGCTTTGTGTTAAAAACTTTCATGTCATCTCCTGTGTCTAGGTTCACATACACAGCAACAGGAAAACTATCTTGCTTCTTTGTTTCATCATTATATCTCAAAACATTAAAGTTCTTCAATAATATTGTTCTTCCTGCTGGAATACTTCGAACCTGTCTGATTTCAATAGCTTTCTCACCTCCTACATACTCTACCCAGTGTCGTGGATATTCATAAGTATACTGACTTTCTTGAATTTTGGTTGGTTTCATCATAACGTGTTCATAGTATATCTTTATACTCTTGTCAGTTAGACTCGGTGCTATGTTCTGAATATTTCTGACTTGCATTTTTAATGGAGATAAAATGAAGCATTTAATACATGATGTAGATGAAGACATGAATGAAACTACAGATAAACTTAACTCTTCTCTCATTCTTCCTTTCAGTAAGGACTATGAGTTCTGTTCAAATGGTGTGTATTTCTATTGTGGAAAGATGGGTTCAGGTAAGACATTTAACCTCATTCGTCATATACTCATAACAGAGCGTTTAGGAAACGACTCTTACTATGACCAAATCATTATATCAGCAACTTCAGACTCTATGGACTCAACAGCGAAAACATTTATGTCAAAAGTTCAAGCCTCTGTCGTTAAAGTTCCAGACAGTGAACTCATTGAATTTCTTCAACGTTACATTCGACGTAAGAGGAAATATTATGCCATCGTTGAATTTATACAGTCAGGAATGCAAAAGACTTCTGAGGAGATGGAAAGAATTATTGACAAACACCACTTACGTCAATACTCAGGAGTTTACGATATGAAACGACTTACAAACTACATTCTATCAAAACTTTCAAAATACCCCTTCAAAAAGTATCCTTCAAACACTCTGCTCGTTTGTGACGACTTCGCCGGAAAAGGTTTAGTGTCAAAACCAGACTCACCATTAGCTAACATCATTACTAAAGTCAGACATTACCATTTAACTGTAGCAATACTTATGCAAACATGGAGGTTTTTAGCTTTAAACATAAAACGTCTCATAACTGACTTCGTTATCTTTCAAGGTTTCTCACGTTATGATATTGAACTCATTTGGAAACAGTCAGGTATAACATTACCTTTTGATGAAATTTGGGAAGCATATAAGTCTCTCATCTCTCCTCGTTCATACCTTGAGATTCATATCATGACTAATACCATTAAAGTCAAAAATATTCCATGGGAACGACCAACATTGTTTTAAAGTTTAACCTTCAATTGACTGATGGTAAACAAATTCCATGCATCTCTGTCGCCATTTCTGTTAATATTTTTGCTGTCATTCATATCATCCACTTCCCCATCCGTTAGCTTTTGAGGATATGCGTTAGAATAGCTGTTCTTAAATGAAGGCTTTTCACCTTTGAGAGCATAAACTCTATAACTTTCTGCATACTTTATGTTTGAACCTCCTGAGCCATCATTGACATAAATTTTTATAGGCTTCCACCCTTTGTTCATATTCCTGCTTCTTCCCTTTGCTCTTTTGTTCAGTAGTTCTACATCTTTATACACAGCACCTGTCTCAGTGAATTCAACAATATTTTCATTCGTTAGCTTTACATTCAAACCCTTGTCGAGTATATTGTTCATTTCATACATATAAAAGGTTTTTATTCTATATGAAATGAGAAGCAAATCCATCTTAGCTGGTGCCGTTAATGTTCCAATTGAACCAACATCAAATGTTGACTCACGAACTACAAACAATATTGTCATAAAGAACTATAGTTCAGAGTGTTTGAAAGAAAAAGAACCAGAACTTAAGTCGGTGAATTTAAACTCAGCTTCAAACGCTAACGCTACATCAGATGTTAAGTTAGAGTATCCACCACTGGACCAAGTTCTTTCAAGAGAAGCCAACGACAATCCTTACACAAATGTTCAAACAAATCCTTCAGATAACGTAGACCATTACCTTCTTCAGTTATACCAAACAATTTTACTCAAAGACGATAAGAAGCTTTTGACAAATCTTATAAGTAAGAACCAAATAATTCTAACAAAGGAGGACCTTGAAAATGTTATCTCACGAATAACAGGGAAACAATGTGTCATTGACTATCTCGACCCTGAAATCGAATGCTGTGGTCAAACTCCACTATTCATGAAAATAGGTAACATCCGCATCATTGAAACACCAGGAACTACAGGAGTTGAGTTTAAGTATAAATATTCGAACGAGTATACAAAACTATCTACTGACTATAAGCTTTGTTTGAAATATGTTTTAGTAAATTAAAGCAGTCAGGACCTTCGGTCTTGGCGCTTTGCGCCGTCAGTCAAAAAATTTCAAGTTAGCAATTTGTAATATCTATCCAAAACTTCTTCAACAGTATCGAACTCATCTTCATAATGCAAACCTAATCTTATTGACTTGGTGCAGTTTTCACTAACACAATATTTTTCTGTTCTCTTGACTGACATAACTAACTCATTTGTTTCATCAAACAACAACAACCAAAGTTCATGACCTAATACATAACATTCATACTTTATATTTTTAGCTCTGAGTTCTCTTGTAAGCTGTTGCATTTAATATTTTCTAAAAAGTCAACTTCAACAGTCATTCGCACTGGTGCCTTCAGTTCTACAGGCTCTCCTTGAAAGTCAACAAGTCTGAATTGCATGTCTTTCAAATTATGAGGACTAATGCGAACCCATTTACCTAAATGAGTTGCTATGACAGGAACGTTTGGAATGAACATTGAATTTACTTCATAACAGAAAGACTTATATTCTACTGAACCTTTACTATTAACTCCTGAAATACCTGTGACATTAGCTATTTTTGACTCAATGTACAAACAATTACCATAACATACGTATGGAACAGATTTCATCTCAATCGTTTTGTCAACACTTTTCAAAGGAAATGTCATATGGTATGCTCCCAGAAGCAATTGAACTCTATGACTCATTCGTGTTATCTTAAACTCCTTCGCATAACTGAACTTCAAAACTCCTGCAATAAGTTTAACATTCATTAAGTTTTCTTCGTTATCCTTGTTTATTGTAGTATTTATGAGAGCATTTAACACTCCAGTTAATGTTTCCATCTTATATTCTACATTATTGTGAAATCTTATTTCGTGCTTCTTTCCATCTATTTCAAGCTCCATGAAATCTGTTTCATCTGTTATGACAAAAGTTGCGATAGTATTGAAGTCAACCATTCTGAATGCAAGCGCCTCATTCTGTAGACCTGAGTTTGTTTGTAGCTTTACTGTCCCGTATTCGTTTGGGTCTGTACTTTGCAAATAGAACAACATTTTATTCTTATTAAAATATGACTATTGCTGCATATGCGTATGAAGCTGACAGAGCTAGACGTTTATATTTTGGTCAATACTCTCTCACACTTACTGACAAATATATTGTTATTTCTGATGGAAATACTGAGAAATATATAACATGGAAGGACTATGAAAAGTTTGACCCTATTTTAACTCCATGTACTATGCCATTCATTGTAAATGGTGAAGTTGTCATGAAGAACGACACAACAGTATATAGGTCTGTTTATGAAGCATTAGAATATATGTTGAATTATAATCCCGAAAGATTTGACCCAAGCACTACGCCATGTGCAATGCCCTTTATTAAGGATGGTGAAATTGTAAGGGTTCCGAATTCAACGGTTTATACAGCTGTTCAAAACAGTTTACAAAACATTTTAGCGAATATCTTTAATTCAGAAACTACAGAAATAAAATTACCGTATATAACAGATGCCAAAGAAATTAAATCAAAAACAACAACATTATTTACGTCACTTAATGATTTAATGACTTATATCATTAATACTCCTTCTCCGACTACGGCATTTGATCCAAATTCGACGGTTTGCAGTGTACCTTTCATAAATGACAGTTCAGTAATTGCTTTAAGGGATTCAACAGTTAATGAATCATTAAAGGCTTCATTAATGAAAATCATTGATTTTAACTCATTCATGAATACATATAATTCATTCATTAATGTTTCATACACTTCTAAAGAAGGTGAGCCAAAAACTATAGATAAAGCGGTGTATGAAATAAAAGCACCAATGACGAAATTGAATTCGTTAACTTTTGATGGTGATAGTTCCGTTAACAGCATGACATCAGGAAAAACGATTTTAACGAAAGAATATTTAAAATCTCATGTTAGTGAGTTCGTTGAAATTGAAAAAGAAGGCGGAATTAAGTTCGATCCACTGGGTTTCATTTTCAACTTAGCGAATGCGGGTGTTAGTTTCGCTGAATGGACAACTATACAGAGTGAAATAAATGCAATATGGACGTTTTTGGGGTCAAAAGCGGGAATGGGTGAGCTTGTAAATGCTGCAAGAACATTAGGTGAAACAGGAAATTTTGTAGATGGTTTTAAAAGACTTGTTTCAAATGTTTTAACAAACACAAAGAAATTATTTAGATATACCATACATAACGGCCAGATTTTCGAACAGGTAGCAACAAACCCTCCGGTTATGGCTGCGTTGATGATGGTTAGAGACATAAAGCCGCGTAGCGGTGAGGGCGAAGCCCACGAAGAAGAGAAGAAACCAGAGGATACGGGTCAGGTTATTCGAGACATTAAAAACGTGTATCCTGAAGTTATTGATTTATTTAGAGGTGTTAATGATTCGATTTCAAATCATTCTATAACCCTCGATGAAGAGAATAAATTAACAGATTATATATTCGTCATTATTGCAGAACTAATGAAGAGAATAAATGAAAAAGGTATAGCTGATATCATTAATGTAAGTGATGTAATGATGAAAAGAAATTTTGACTCATTATTTACAGAACCGAAAACAGAATATAGTCTTTATGAAGTTTTGAAAGCAATGCTGACAAAAATAAATGAAAGTGGCGCTGGTGACATAAGTGAAGCAAAAGTTGTTAAACTTCTTTCACAAAAAGCAGATAAAAACCATGTTCATTATATAAGTTCAGATGAACAGATTATAACGGACTATCATGGATATTTAACACGAACTTAAGAAAGAGTGAAGACGGAAGATGTTAATGAAAGAAGATATAAATACATTCGTGCTGAAGGTTATGACATACGCTGTACTGTACAGTATGACACAGGTAAAGCACCAGAAGCATTTGGTTATAACGATGAAATTTATGCTTCTAGTTTCTCTGTTAACGGTGTATTAGTTGAACCAAGATTTACTTTGAGAGTTAAGGCAAAAATAACTTTTGAAGATGCTATTAAAAGTAAAGCAGAGAAAGATGAACTTGACGTAACGAACAAAGTTTTGAAATCTCATAAACACAATATCTCCGATATAAATGAACTTCAAGCTACATTAAATAGTAAAGCTGACAAGAACCATACACATGAATCCTTCACTACTGTTAGAGCAGACGACATAATATTGAACTATACCCTTGGTTCAAGTGCACCTTTAGAGAATCCAAGTACAAGCGTAAAAGATACACTAAACTCCTTAAATAGTAAATGTATGAACATTGAAGGTCATGTCAGAAACTTTGAAACATATAAACTACCAGCAATGTTAGATAAAAAAGCAGATAAAGAACATACACATAACTCCTTCTCAACTGTTGCTATAGAAAGTATTGAAGGAACGGTTGGCGGAACTGGTGGGGATGCATTATATTATAAACCTCCTAACTTTCCACAAGGTTTAACATCGAATGAAAACATAACAACGAAGAAAGAAATTAGCTGTAAAAATGTTTATGTCATGAATGATGAAAATAATGTTAAATTCACTGCTCAAGATTTATATGATAAGAAAGCTGACAAAACAGAGCTTCAAACATTAAAGACTGAAATATTGCAAGCTATATATCCTGTTGGTTCTTTATATACATCAATGAATTCAACAAATCCCGCAACAGTTCTGGGTTTTGGTACATGGCAGCAGATTGTAGATAAATTCTTATACTGTGCTAACTCTTCAAATCAAACAGGAGGTTCGAAGAAAATTACTGAAGCAAACTTACCTGCGCACACTCATACAGGAACGACAAACTTTTCTGGTGACCATAGACACTCATTAAGAGACCACCCATTATACAACTCAGACTATAAAGCTGGCAATGACATTTTATCTCCATCTTATAACAATTCAGCAAAAAAGACTTTTCGACCAACTGAACCAGGAGGAAATCATTCACATACATTTACAACAAATCCAACAGGTTCGGGTGAAGATTACATGCCACCATTTATGACTGTATTTGCATGGTACCGCGTTCAATGAACGCGCTTGAGCCTGCTTTGCAGGCTTACCGTCTTGAATAAAATCTTTATTTTTACATAAATGAGTTTAAAAGAAGTATTCGAACAACATCCATGGAGGTCATTTAAGAAGTTCAATGAAGCTGCAAAGAGTTGGGGATTTACTAACAGAGCTGAAGTTAAAAAGTTCTTTGACAAAAATGTTGTACATCAAACAAAAATAAACCCTTACGACTACTTTTTACCAATTTACTCCAACACTCCCGACGCATACCAATTTGACACTCTCATTCAAAGCAGAAAAGGAGGACATAAACCATTCCTCATCTTCATTAATGTTAACACTCGCAAAGCTTTTGCGTATATAATGAAAAATAAAGGAACTCGTGAATTGTTAAGAGTTTTACAAAAGTTTGTAGCAGAACATAGCCCAAGTACTTTAACATCAGACCAAGACAGTGCATACCTCAGCAATGAAATCACAGATTTTCTCATTAAGCATAACATAACTCACTACACTACTGAAGACCATAACCATAACATACTCGGCATCATAAACCGCTTCATAAGGACTCTCAGAGATTTAAATCAAGAGCGAGACTTTACCGAAGAAACAATGAAACATTTTCTCGAAGTATATAATTCCTCAACACATTCTACAACAGGACATACACCAAATTCAATGACACAACAAGAAGAAAAGTATATACAAAAGAAACGAAGCCAAACACAAAATATCAGAAATTCAACACAATTTACCCTCATTCCTGGAACAAAAGTTCGTGTAGTTCTTGACGACAAACCGTTGACAAAGAAACGTTTAAGGTTAAGTCGAAATTATTATATCGTAGACTCTACGCAAGGTAATGGATATCTTATAAAAGCTGCTGACGACTCCATTGCATTTTATCCTCGACATAAATTAGTTGAAAGTAGTAATGGCAAACTTGCTGAAACCATTGACGAAGCAAAGCGAGGAGTGGTTATTGAAATACTTGGCTATAACATAAACGATGACACTTATAAAGTAAGATATGAAGGAGGCGTTGAAGATGTTATACCATCTAAGAACTTGAGAGAATCTAAACCAACTCATCTGGGACCATTAGAGCGGGAGTACTGGAAGGATAAAAATAAGCCAGAAAGAATAAGAAAATTCTTCTAAACTTTTTCATTAGATGTAAATCAGACATGAACGAGAACAGTCATGATATCATTAATGGTACCATTTATTTACACCAAAAATAATGTTTAGGGTAGATGGTTAGATCTAACCCGATTTCTAACCTCATTTCTACCCTCAACCGCTAAGCGGCGAGACCCAAAGGTCTTGAATTTTCATGAATTTCCTTAAGACAGAAAAAATAAAGTTAGTTTTATTTTTATTTATTTTTTTTATTTTGTATAAAAGATATGATTTCAACAATCGGCACAACAACAATTCAAACAACAGCACCAAACTCGTTAGTCATGAATCCAACATCTATGTTAGTAGAGATGAAAAGCTTCATTCCTTCTTCATTTACTTTCGAAACAGAAATACAAAAAATAAAGCAGGAACTTTTAACAAGTAATTTAGACTGTACCGCACAGGATGAAGAAAATGGAGAATATCTTTATGACATGCAAGATATCATAGACCATTTACCTAAATTGCCTGAAATCCAACAACAAAAACTCACTATTCCTGAATTCGATGAAATAGAAGTTAAAGTTAGTGATTCTGCAGAAATAAAGAAGTTCATACGTAAAGTAAACTATGAGTTTCTAGGATATCATTGCAACCATAAAGTTATGGACAAAGATTGCGACATGATTTATAAAAACATTTCAGATATTTATAAATCGGGGGAGTTTAAGACATACGACAACTTTGTTTCATTAGTTGCAAAATGTGTATGGCAGATAAGAGATAAAGATAGAAGAGGTAAGGTATGGCATGAACAGATAAAACCAACTGCTTCAGATTTAAAGAAAACCATTGACGCTTTAGTTATTTTAGCAGGTAAGGTTTCAGAATATAATGCAAAAATGAATCCGCAATGTTCGAAATGTAAAGCAGCAATGAGGAAATATAACTATTCAGTAAAAGAGATAGAACGTATGCGAAACGACTATGCTGACTTAAAGAAAGAAGCAGAGAAACCGGCAGAAAATAAAATGAACATGTTAGAATTTCTGAATAAAAACTATCCCAGAAACAATAAGAATTACCGAAAAAGTGACAAAACATCAAAAACAGGGAGGGGGTCTCAATTTTTATTACTTATATTATTTTACAATATTTATATAAATACTCTTTATAATATATTTTACTATAAAATTATACCTCAAATTCAAATATTTAAAATATTATTTACATAATTATCTCAAAATTATATTTTTATATATTATTTTTCATATGTATAAATCATATAATCTATATCTATGCAAATCTCATCTAAAATTTTTTGAAACAAACCGCTACCATTTTATAATGGTCCATCTTAAATTCATCATAAATTCTGGTACATGTTAGTACCAGAGTCTTCAAATCTCAAACACTCTGGTACCAACATGTACCAGACGCGAGTTTCCAATGCCCTCGTACGATTTTCTATTAAGATCTTCTTGAATGAGAAGGTCTTCATAGAAACTCGTACGAGGGCTTCTCTTTTAAATACTCTGGTACCTGCTGGTATCGGAGTCGACTTTACAGCCCTTTCCCCAATTTTGAAGCTGGGGAAAGTTTTCAAGCAATGAAAGGGAAGCTCTCGCTATGAGGTGAAAATCTAGAATTTTTACCTTATAGCGAGTAATCCTTTGTTAATTGCTTGAAAACTTTCTTCAAATTATCAAAATTTCGAGGAAAGTTTCCTTGCTTCAAAGTAGAGATGGAGCCCTTTGAGCCACTGCATATAGGTCAGTGACTCAAAATACTCCATCTCTACTAGAAATCGCCAAAATTTGGGTCGCAATCTTTGAAATGCGACGCAAGTTTTGGCAATTTCGCGAGGGACTTGCTCCATTTGGTGCATAGATTCACACTCTATGCACCAGATGGAACAATTCTTTCGCTGACAGCGGGAAACTTTGTCTGAATAGTTTAACATTCAGACAAAGTTTTCCGCTGTCAGAGAGGGAATGGAAGGGTAAGAGGTATATATTCATAATGTATACCTCTTACTCTTCCATTCCCTCAAGAAAGTTCAAAAACTTGGGTGCAATCAGTTCTGATTGCACCCAAGTTTTTGAACTTTATATAAGGAATTGTTGGCTATGATGTACTGATCATGAATCAGTACATCATAGCCAACAATTCCTTCGCAAACAGTGGGAAACTTTGTCTGAATAGTTTAACATTCAGACAAAGTTTCCCGCTGTCAGGGAGGGAATTAGAGGGTGGGAGATATATAGATAGACTATAAATCTCTCACCCTTTAATTCCCTCAAGAAAGTTCAAAAACTTGGGTGCAATCAGTTCTGATTGCACCCAAGTTTTTTGAATTTTGTATAAGGAATTGTTGGCTATGATGTGGATAGCCGCTGCCAGACCAAATGAATTAACCGTTGTGAATAACGTTTCTGAATCTTTATTTAAAAGATAAAATATCACGATTTTGGCTGCGTTAAAAATCAAAGAATTGATGTTTTTGTCAAAAATCTTTTAGAAGAAGTTGCACCCAATTACTTTTATCGTATTAAAAACGATTTACTTCAAACAGGTTTTATTCCTTCAATTAGAATTCGCGAGCCTCGATTGACAGATTATAAAACAAAATTGAAAAGAGAAGTTCAATCACGTTTATACCAAGTATTAAATTTTGTTCAGAATCAAGAAGCCAATTTGAATCCATTAAGATTTTTATTGGAAAATGCTGAAGAAAAACTTTCTCAAATAAATGAGAAGATACAAAATTCAATTACATATTTAAGATCGTTTGAAATTCCAAATGAATTGTTAGATACGTATATGTTAGAAATTAATGAATTTTGTTATAATTCTCCAGATTATATTTTAGAACATTTCGAAGAATTTTTAGAGGATTTCAAAGAAAAGAATAATTTAATAGACTAAAAAATTTATTATTTTTATTTATTGTGAATTTTAAATTGTCACTTTTTAAGTGTTACTCCCTATTGAAACTGTCACTTTTTGGGGTGTCGCTTTTTCGGAAATTCTTATATACTCCACAGCCGATGATTTCCTTTTATCTGATGTCAAGAAGAAGTATAAAGAAACTTTCGGTATCATTAAAATTTTTGATATATTAACTGAAGAAATAGAAGCTACAAAAATATTTAAAATTTCACGAATTCATAACGTATATCATGTGAAACGTTTATAAAATAACTGGGGTAGAAATGAGGGTAGAAATCGGGTTAGATCTAACCATCTACCCTAAAATATATTTTTATTGAATTCAGCACAAAAATAATGAATTTCATTAAGACAGAAAAAATAAAGTTAGTTTTTATTTTTTCGAATTTTTTATTTTGTATGTAAAGACAGTAATGTCAACATCAGAGAACACAACAATTGCTATCGTTCATGAAGCCATAAATGAAGAATACGAGTACATACAGTATAACAAACAACTTCGCCTCATTCGTTCGGTCAAAGACGATATGTACCAAATGCAAAGTATAATGAATGCTCTTCGTTCTACAAAGCAATCATATCATTGGTTTGAAAACCAACAGACAAAAGAACTTTTAGAAGAATTTCCTCATATGATTGCTTCCCTCGGAAAACCGGGGAAGAGATTCCGTATGAAAATCGCAAGAATTTGGCTCCTGGTTTGAAAGGTTATTATGTTCATAGACTTTTAGTAAACGCTGTAGCAATGTGGGCTTCACCTCGTTATGCTTGTTATATTTTCATGATGTTAGATGAACTATATAAAGCAGAACGTGAAGATATGGAAATGAAACTTCAAGCAAAAGATGAAGTCATTGAATCCAAAGGCAAAAGCATACAGAAAAGAATACCGCGTTCGGTACCAAAAGGAAAGGAAAAGAGTTATAAGTATATGATTTATATTGAAGAGTTGGAAAATGAAGAAGATAAAGATATGGTTATGTTACATTTAGTCAGAAGAAACAACAAGAGCTTTTATGACTTAGCTAAGATATATAAATCTGACAGAAACTGGTTCTATCGTGAAAACTTACCGATTTCAATGACACCGAATGAGCAAATAAAGGAAATTGTCAAAAATACTCTTCCTCAAACACACTATGACATCAAAGGTTGCACAATACTTACATTCAAAGAAGACTTAACATTACTGAAGGAAAAAATAACAGAATATTTCGATAACTTCAAAGAGGAAGAATAAAAAAATCTAAGCTAATTTTATTTTTTTATAAAATTTTATCTCATATGAAAGAACATGAATTTAGAATATTCGGAACTCATGACAGAAGAAGAGAACGAACAACATGTAAAAGATTATGCAAAATTTCTGAAGACACACAAAGCATTTAAACAATATCTAAATGCTTCTAAAGATTATGCAAAATTTCTGAAGACACACAAAGCATTTAAACAATATCTAAATGCTTCTAAAGATTATGCAAAATTTCTGAAGGTATATAAAGCTTATGAAAAAGCGTATGAAAAGTTTATACATTGGGGAATTGTTGTAAAATATCGATATGAAGACTAACCAAAAATATATTTTTGCTTAAATGACGTCAGGGTCAATTTCTTCAACCATTTCACTTCCTTCGTCAATGTCAATAGAAGCTTCTTCAACCTTTGGTAAGAATTTCTGTATAACATCTTTGTTCGTTATTGTCTTCAGAGATGAAGGATAATATTTCACATTTGTTTCACCTTTCTTATATTCTTTCTGTTCGGAAAGATTTAAAGCAATACTGAAGAAGTCAATGTTAGAGTTCTTTATGACAGTATAATGAGTATCTTTGACATTCACGAAGAAACTCTTTTGTTTCAAAACTACTGCTAACTCTTGTGAAGTATAACGTTTGCGGTCAATGACGATAGCTAATGGTCTGACATACTGACCAAACTTAGATTCTTTCACAAACTTCTTGTTAAAGATAACATTAACATTTGAAGCACCATTGAACTCATTCTTGATGGCATTAGCGAGAGCATTGTATGAAAAGAACTTGCAATCTTGCATGTGTTTCATTAAAATAAAAATATTAAATTATTTTGAAAAATAACTTAAAAAAAATCTAATCTAATTTTTTCAAAAAATATTTTTTTTATTTCCTACTAAAGATGTATCGGAAGTTGTCTAAGTTAGAACACTCGGAAATAAAACAACTTCTTACAGAAGCTAACATAGATGTTGCAAAGCATTACGCAACAAACAAAAAAGCACTCGCTGACTTCATTAAAGACTACAATGGTGAAATAACTTATGATAGAATTCATGAGTTCATAAAGCCGCAACGCGGCGAGGACGAAGTCCATGCAAGAGCATTTCCTTTAAATGACATTGTTATTGACTTATATCATAGACGTTCAGTACCTCATGAAGTAAGAAGAGAAATGTTTGACATAACAAATGCGAACGTTGGTCATACTCGTAAAGCTCTTTCGCATGATGTTCGTCAAGAAATGTTTGAACTTACGAACTCAAACGTCGGTGAAACAAGAAGAAGAGACGACACACTGAAACAACAGAGAAGAGAGATGTTTAAAAGTGCTATAGAACAAGTTCGCAAAGCTAACGATGTCATTCGTTCCATTGACGACAAACCAAAAGAAGGTGAGAGATGGTTAAAGAAAGATGAAGAGAATAGGAAGAGAAATGTGAAGTCAGGCAATAGACTCATTGACTTTAACATCGAAGCTTTAGATGAACCAAACAGAGACTACTTACACAAACATTTCGGTAAGGTTTTCATGAGACTCTTAGAGAAAATTAAAATAAACTCACAACAGAGATGGATGGTATGTTATAAACTTGGTGGAAAGTATGAATGTTCTACGTTAAACCTCAATAATATTGGAACATTACTACATCAGCTCTTGAAGGAGAACTTTATATCAGAGATAGAAGCAAATGCTGCAGGTATTGTTGAAATGCACTATGACTTCTTCTTGACAAACATAAAGAATCTTACTGAAATAAAGATGTATGATTTAACAGAATATGAAGGCTTAACGATGTCAGATGTAAAGAAAGGCAAACCAAAAAAGAGACCATATAGAGATGAAAGCACACTGACAAATGACCAGAAAGCCATTTTGGAAGCTCTTAAGCAAACAGGAAACCCAGCACTTATAGAAAGCTTTTGGAAAGATAATGGTGAAAAGAAGTTTTATAAGAAGAGAAGCGGTCAGTTCTGGAAGTATCTTTGCACATTACCTATAAATCTTGAACGCTACCAAATCTTCAATGAACTGAACAAAAGAACTGCAACACTTATGACAGAGGACAATTGTTTCGTTTATGCTTGCATTCAGGCTGGAGTAAATGAAGAAACTATTGACCACATGAGAGAAGTCATTCGTGTTAGAGACTTTCCTCAAAGTAAAGTACAAGAAATTTCTGACGCAACAGGTATAGCATTTAATGTTACCATTGGTTATTTCAATGACTCTAGACATAATGAAATAAAGAGATACATACCAAAAGAATGTGAAACTGTTAGAACTATTGACTTACTTCTTGTTGAAGACCACTACATGCTAAACGAAAGATTACCAATGACAACATATTTCATTCGCAACTATATAGAAATCTTGAAGGAGTGTGGTGGAATGAACATTGAGAAACAGATGAAGATTTATACAAAGAGAGAGAAAAATATGTAGTTCGTTATGATAGAACAACACCGTTATGGGATGTTATGAAAACATTGTGGGAGTGCAAATATTTCGAACCTATTTCTTATGGAGAACTTTTCACATATACGACTGACTTATATAAACAGAACCTTGCACCATTTAAAGATTTGACATATGCTCCAAAGTATTGTGTACAACTGAAGAAGAAAGCCGAGTCAAAAGAAGTAAATAAAAATAAGTGCAAGTTCATTCCTGAGCACGTTTTCTTTGCTGACTTTGAGTGCAGTACCGATGGCTTTCATAAAGCTTTTAACATATGTTACGACAGTGAAGATGGTTCAGTGAGTGAAAGCATTTGGGGTCAGAACTGTGCAACAGAATTTTTGGAACGACTTCCTGACAAGAGTTTAATATATTTCCATAACCTCAGTTATGATATAAACTTCATCTTAAGACACATGACAGAAGTGAAAGGAACTCCCATCATTAAAGGTTCACGAACAATGCAAATAACTGGCTTATATAAAGGAAGGGCAATTATTATAAAAGACTCTTACAGTGTTATAAATAAGAAGCTTAAACTATTTCCTGCTATGTTTAACTTACAAACAGGACCGAAAGAAGTATTTCCATACAACTACTACAGCAGTGTTTTGTTAGCAAATGACAACAGAACTGGTGTCATTTCTGAAGCATGTAAGTTTATCCGGGATGCGGATACGTTCATGAAAAACATAGATTCCATCAAAGGTTGCAGAATAGATGAAAACCACTTCGACTTAGAAAAGTATAGCACATTTTATTGCAAACAAGATGTAAGAATTTCAAGAGAAGGTTTTGTTAAGTTCCGCAATGATATATTGAAAGAGTTTGATTTAAACGTTTATGATTACGTTAGCATTTGTTCAATTGCTAACAAATTGTTTGAGAACAGAGTATACTTCCCGAATGGAAATCTTTATGACCTCTCAAATAAACCAAGAGAATTTATTTCGAGATGCATTCAAGGTGGAAGATGTATATGTCAGATAACATTAAACAAAAAGTAAAGAGAAATTCATTGCTGATTTCGACGCTGTTTCATTATATCCATCAGCTATAGCAAGACTTTATACTTTAGAAGGTATTCCAAAGGTTATGAAGAAAGAAATGTTAAGCACAGAGTATCTCATGAGACATTTATTCGATGACGACCAAAAGGAACCCATTGGTGAAAAGTTTATGTCTGGCTTCTTTGTTCTCATTAAGATAACAGAGATTGGAATACATAGACACTTTCCTTTAATAGTTTGTGACCCTGAACTAAATCCAGAACTTAACGTTCCCAGAAGTTCAAACACTTGCTGTTTAATGTATGTTGACCATATAACATTACAAGACCTCATAAAATATCAAGGTGTCAAATGTGAAGTGTTGCAAGGATACTATTACGATGGAAACAGAGATATTAGAATAAGAGATGAAGTAAAGAAGTTGTTTGAGTTAAGGTTAAAATATAAGAAAGAAGGAAATTCTTTGCAAGAAAATATAAAGCTCATTCTGAACAGTATTTATGGCAAAACTATTCTATCTCCTATTGAGTCAAAAATAACCATAGTAAATGACAAAGATGCTATAAGATATGCCATCAGAAACTACAACCATATAGTGAAGTTCGAAGGTTTGGATGGTTCAGATAAAACTATTTTCAAGCTAACGAAAAGCATTTGCAGACACTTTAACTTTTGCCCCTTAGGTGTTAATATCTTATCTATGTCGAAGAGAATAATGTGTGAAGTATTCTGTACTGCTGAGGACTTAGGAATGGACATCTTTTATAGCGATACGGACAGTATGCATCTCTACAATGAAGATATCCCTCGTTTAGCTGAAGAGTTTGAGAAACGTTATGGAAGAGTTCATTGGTAAAAACCTTGGTCAATTTCATAGCGACTTTGCAGAAATCACAAAAGATAAACAAAGTTTAGCATACAAGTCAATATTTTGTGGAAAGAAGACTTACATAGACTTACTCACGAATGATTTAAATGAAGTTGCATTTCACTGCAGAATGAAAGGCGTGAAGCAAGATGTTATTGCTTTAACCGCTAATGAAATGTTTCCTGACTCTGTTCAGTGTTTCTATGATGAAGATAAAGGTTTAATGGTTCCGCAAGGAAAATTTGACAAAGACTCTGAGTTCAGTGTTATGAAGTTATATAAAACACTTTATGACGGTCAAGAGATTGGATTTGACTTATGTAAGTCTTCTAGTCCTTGCTTTGCTGAAAAGTTTAACTTTCTATTCAGACTAAGACTTCATTCATAAGAAAGCTTAAGTTCTGAGGTCATGAATGAGAAAAATAATGAGGTCATTTATTTTTGTCAGCAGTGAGACCATTCATGATAAAAATAAGCCGCTAGCGGCAAGGGCGAAGCCCATGTGGTCATTTACATACTGCGATGGTAGAGTTTAAGAGTTGTGCTTCAATGTAGAGACAGTCCTTATGGTCTGGAGGTAAGAACACTGGGCAGTTATGGTCATGAGTGGAGAACATGTCTATCCAAAACTCACGATTGAAGCCAGTTAATTTATAGTATTTAGGGTTAGGAAGTGGTGAAGTTCTTGTATGACAATGAACTCATTTTCAACTCCCTTACTTAAGTTTTGAATATAATATAGCTTGTTTTCTATCCCAAATGCCAGGTGTTACAATCTTTGAAAATTCATTTTTCCTCGAAGCATTGCATCATAATTGAAAACATTTTTGAAGTCTTCATTGGGTTCAGAGATTTGAAATCTTATACGTAATGAATTTTCTTTTCTTTAGCTACTTCATTGAATGGTGAATATATAACAAACTGACAGTCATGTGTTCCATCTTCATTTTCATTAAATTCATAATGAAAGTCTATAAGTTGTGGCTGACTACCTTCTTCTTTCAGTTGTGCAAGAAACTCACGTAAAGGCTGTAAAGTTTGTACTTCAATGTTGAACTTTTTCTCGAACATCTCATTAAATGAAATCATACATTGTTGCAATGTTGTATAGTCTTTAAAGTATTTGTATATGTGAATGTTTTGGGCGCTTAAAGACTGTTCGTCATTTTCTATCTCGACTTGAAGTATAAAGTCAACCTTTCTGAAAGCACGTGTTATATACATAGATGTTATGCCAATGTACTTCTCTTCATTTATGTTCACAATCCAGTCTGTTGGAAACTTAAACGTTACTCTGTTCCCCTTTATTTTGACGTCAGGGTTTTCACTACTGAACGCAACAGATAAAGGTATTTGTCTATACATTTAGTTCCGATAAAAATAACCCATTTACTCTTTCTTTGCTTCAGCTTCTTTAGCTTTTGCTTCAGCTTCTTCTCTAGCTTTCTTCGCCAGTAGTCTTGGGTTCTTTTGTCTTCCAGCAGCTAATGCAGCAAGTTGTTTTTCACTAAGTTTTCTCTTTGGTCTCTCTGGCTTTTGTTCTTGTTTTTGTTCCTTCAGTTCGGATAAAATTTGCTCACGAATTTCTTTCTTCAATGCTTCAACATCTATGACCCCTTGGGTCTTGTCCGTAGGGTTTGTCTGAGTCATTTGACTGCAGATAAAAAACAAAATTAAAACTTTAACCGATGTAAAATGAGCTTGTCAAAATCAGAGCGAGAGTCTATTATATTAAATGACGCAAGAGGAATACAACATCCTTTCTATTACGTAAGTCAGAGTAAAGATGGTAAAATATACGTAAGAAAAAGAAAGGTTCCATTAGCGAATGCAGAAAGCGACAACATTAAGGTGCATGGCACCGAGGGCGAAGCCCATATAAAACCTTCTGTTCAAACTGAGCCACCAATAGAACCAGAAGAAAAGAAGCCAGATGTACTTTCAATAACGAACCAAGAGCTTATTGCAAAGTTCGTGAATTTCATTGAAAAACAAACCGAGTCAAAGAATCCTGACCCGCCAGTGAAAGAAGTTGAGACAAAAGAGAATGTACAGTTCATTGAAAATGTCAAGAAACAACTTCCACCACGAATGCCAAGAAGAAGAGTGAGAATAATGAAGTAAATAGATATTTTTATCTGAAGTAAATACATGCAGAACGAACAGCTAAACAAATTTACTCCAGCAGAGCATATTCATCAGATTCGCTCATATTTCGATATCATAGACAATGCAGTTCAAATTTGGTGACACTAATAGAAAATATTCTGACGCAAAGATTCCATCACAACCTGGAACTGCTAAAGATAACACATGGGTAACATTCAATCTCTCACCTCCTGGTGAAAATATGTTGGACCTTTACAATACATTCATTACGTATAAAATGGAAGGTCAATTTATTGTAGATAAAGAAATTGGTTCAGGTTTCCAATAAAACAAACCCACCAGGATTTTGGATTGGTTTCGATGACGCTTTCTATGCAGTTGCTGGATATCAAATCCTTGCAAATGGTCGTATCGTATATTCTCAAGACAACGCAAGAGAAGAAGCATATATAACTTCAAACTCACAAACTACCGAACAAATAAAGAAAGTAGATGTTTTCTCAAAGACTCGACATGAAGATATATGGAGTCATTCGGGAACATGCAGAAACAGGACAAATTGTTAGTGGGCCGATTACAGCAGGAAAATCATTTGATTTTAAGCTTCGTTTAAGAATTCCTGTTAGAAGATTCCTTCCATTAGAAGCTATTCGATTTATTCCAGCTTTTGCAGGAAACATTCAGCTTAAAGTAAAGTTCAGTAGCGACGCCTTACAATGCACATCTATATCTGTAAATGATATCATTGCTTCAATCCAACTCTTAAAGTTGTATTTGCTTCAGATTCAAATCCACCGACAAATAAATTTGTTCCATGGAATGAACCATTCACTATGATAACGAAGGCAGTAGAAGCTAGTGGAACAGTTACTATTACAACTGTAACCCAGCAACTATTTCGAACAAAGATGGATTTTAATGAATGTTTTATTCATCCAAAGTCATTCTCTTTAGACCCTAACATTTATACAGAACTTGTAGAACATTATACAAACGAGGCTTTATGTTTTCCTGTTAAAGTTATGGATTGGATTCCTATGGACGGTTCATTCTCAAAGAATACAGATAGTTCAAGTGCAACATTTACAGCAGCTTATACGCCTATTAATGTTAAAAGTATTTGGGCACTATTTAGAAGAAAGACAACTATTATGTTAATTTTGAGAACCCTAAGTTTAAATATCTTCAGCTTTCCATGGGAGCTTATGGAAAATATGCCTGCAGAACCTGAAAAATCATATGGACCTGTATTTTATGAAATGGTTGCGAACGCTTGCAATACAAACAATGATATGATAGGATTTAATGAAGATGTTATGAGGTCATTGGTGGATGATGGTAGTGTGGAACATAAATGGGATAGCTATGACAACACACATTTCTTATGTGGTTTTCCAACAGAAGTGGACTTTTGCTTCCAGCAAGGTCAAACATCTACTGCTCCAATAACATACAAATTGTCTGTTAAAGGACCTATTGAACTAGCAACTGAAAATGTACCAAAGCCACTTATTGGATTTATGAGGGATTGTTGCTTTGCCATTCAGGTGCGTGCTAATGGAATCCCAATAATAAGATTAGATGACTATAACTTAGCTGCGGATGACAGTGAGGAATAAAGGATGAACGTTTATTTTTAAAGCTTATAAATGAGTTCTTCATCAAGCTCTCGCGAACCTTCACCATCTATGAAACAAACTTTACCAAACGATTATGGAGCACCTATTGAATATTTCTTACGAGCTGCACAATGGCAAAGAGCAGTCTCACCAAGGTTAGGTGTTCCACCAGCTCCTGTCAAAAATAGCTTTTGGTCAAGTCCTTATATAAGATATGGTCTCCCACTAGGTTTGCTAGCTACAGCAGTAGCAGTTATGATGTTGAAAAGAAATAAAACAAATGTTGTAAATAATACTGAAGTAGTTGAAGTTAAACAAACTCCAACACCTTCGCCAAAACCAACGTCAAAACCAACGCCTTCACAAACAACACCTTCAATGACTCCTGAACCTATGGAAGTACAAACTCCTGTTCAAAAGTCAACTCCTAAACCGACTCCAACATTTAAACCAGAACCTACTCCTCAAATAAATCGTAAAACTCCTGCGTTTCCTTACTGAAAAAATAACGTTATTTTTATTTAATATTAAAATTTTTATTTGATTGAAATGACGACTAAAGTCACTGAAGCAATGAAACAAAAGTTTTTGGTAGAATACATTAAATCAGGAACTATTCCAGAAGGTTTTTACGTTCATCAAATGAAAGATGGTAGAGTTCAGTTTAGAAAGATAAAGCAACCATTAGATAAAGAAGGAATTTTGAGAAAGATTAAACTTCATGAGGACAACATTGCTGAACTTAAGAAGAAGTTAGAAGAGTTGGAGAAAGGAAGAGAGTTATAAAGCAATGAATTCAACAGGGTAGAAAAGAGGTTAGAAATCGGGTTAGATCTAACCTTCTACCCTAAATTTATTTTTGTGCTATGTTTTCATACGTGTGAGGGTGGTGATATCATTAGCTTTTAGGTTTATTTTTTAAAATTATTTTTTATTTTAATTTTATATAAATGACGAAAACTATTGAGATAACAAACTACAACGGTCATGAGTTCAAGAATTTGTTCTTCGTTCCTCGTGAAAATACATTCTATCAGATACGAGGGAGAAAGGGTAAAGTTAGTTTGAGCGTTTATGAAGGAATGAAGAATGGAAAGTTTATACAAGCATACGATACAAACGGTAAACGTGTTTCATTAGCTTTGTCAAAACTTACTAACATTTATTTTGACAGTGACTTTGACTCTGACGATTGGAGCGACAGCAGCGATACTGAAGAATATGAACTATTGTGTGAAGCACAGCAATGGGAAGAGTTGCAATACTTTTGTAAGTGAGAACGTTTATTTTTTACAGTAGTGAAGTGAAGTGGTTGGCGGTTTTGTAAATATTTAAGGTTAAGTTAGTGTTGTCGTTTGTGTTGTAAAATATACGTTAACGGTTTTGTAAAGTGTCAAATTCACATATAATGGGTACGGTGGAACGCAGTGCCTCCGTACACATGATATGTATACTAACTCAAATTCAGCGATTTTGAAACATACATTCATAATACATTAAGTAGATTTCATAACGGGATCACATATGAGAATCTAGAGTTTGCTATTCTAAATGCGAAACGTCATCCAAAACACATTGTTGATCTCATAAATAAAGGCAATTTTTCACAAATCTTAAGGAGTACACTTCGCACAATGACAATTGAAAACAAAGTGAATTATAGTCATGTAACCACACTCTACTTCGCTGCATAGCTCTCAAAATAGAGCTCCTTTATTATAACTATCATAAATTTCAAATCTCAGATTGAAATATTCGTTAAATGATAGTTCTTTTGTATATTTGTATACTATTTTGTTTGTATTAAACTTGTTTGTTATTTTTAGTCACAAATTATATTTTTTAAATTTAATTAAAGTAAAAATTCCTTTAATGGTAATGTTCGAACATTGATTACAAGATAATTAAAATATATGACCTCATTATAAATGAATTTTAACTCTAGATAATTAAGAAAGCTACAAATTGTTTCTAAATCTTGAAATTATTCGATGTCAATCTAATTTTTCTTGTTATAGCCTACTTCTATGGTGTACAGGTTGTCATAATTACTATTTTAAAGTGTAAAACATGCTTATATCAATCAGGACGTTAAAATGGAAAAGTACATACCAAGCAAATGTTTGGATTTATATGCGACAGCCTTTTTAATGGATGTGACAAAGCGTTTCAATATAGATTTTGATTAAAGCATAACTGCAAATTATAATTTGACTTTATATGTACCAATAATAATGGCAATTATGAGTTTTTTTATATAAATTATATCACACCGCTTCTAGTAATTTTTAGCTTAAGCATATCATCGGCTAATTTTCAAAAAAAAAGAATTTCAAATTTTAATCCAAATTCTTTTCTTAAAATTCACAATCAAATTACAGCTTATCTTTAATAGTCTTATTCATTCTATGCTTTTTTTTCGGCTCCATAAAAGTCATAAATTTTTCCATCATAAATTTGTTAGAAATTGGGTTACCATTGCCAAACATTTGGATAGAAAAAGCCCAATAAATTATACCCAAAGCATCCAAACATGAAGATATCATATAAGAAATATAGTTTAATTCAGTAATTCCCTAAAATCTAAAATGTTTAAGAACGTTTGTTCAATATCTTACAATCTAATTCACAGATTTAGCATATGTACTACGTATCAAATATACAATGTGATCTCTCAATAAGCTTAGAAGGTTAATTATTAAAATTAAATAAAATTCTACAATTAGCGAAAAATAATACGGCAGATAATATGCTTATAGGTAAAGAAATTCAAAGAGCATTCCTTAAATTTTTTCGAAATTTATCAAAACTCGAAGGTAAATCATCGAGTGATATGCGAAAAAAACTTTTTTATTCTATTAATGATAATAAATATATTAGCCATATTAAAACTTTTCATTTTTTAAAACTCATAGAAATACGTTTGATATTCTTCATTAAGAACATATAAAAACGAGTATAATTATCATAATCTGTTAATTTACAATATAAATGCTTTTCTGCTTGTAGTAAATATCAAATAAGAAAATAATAACATTATAAATTTTTCAAATAAGAATATATTATCTAGCATCTAAGCATGAAGATATTTAGAATTTGGATATCTAAATTCTGCTTAGATTACTTTCAAAATATAAGTCAATAATCTTTGATTTTATTAAACGCTAATATTGGATAGTATATTTTCACAATTTAATTGTAGTTAGATAAATGATAATTCATGTAACTCATTGATTTCGATCAAAAGTTATATTCACCTTGTTAAAAAAAATAAAAAATAAAAAAACTGGGTGCTTACTGATTTGAACATATTGCCTTTGAACCCCACGACATAACCAGTAGGCTAAACGTACAGTGATTTTTTTTATAAATTCTAGTATAAAATACTTCCCGCAGGGCATTTGTTTAATTATTTCACATTCTGATGACATAATTTTTAATATCATAGATAATGAAAGCGAAAAATATATAAAAATCGACAAACATGTTATAATGAATTGAGAGCTTTACGTGTCAAAAAACACATTTCATACTGATTTCTATAAAAGGTATCTTTATTATAGAAGTGTAAGCTATATCTGTTTGTTTTTTTATTATAACAAATTCAAAATTCTCTTATAAGGATTAGATGAAATCTGTATTACTAAATCATTAGCTAAATGAAGGTTCAAATAGAAAGTAAATATCAATTTATATGATACTGAAACCAAATAGTTCTTTTAATAAAAGATAACACGCTGAAAATTATTGAGTATTTGCAAATCTCAAAAATCTATTGGTGAATTTGGCTCAACTTTTAAAATTATAACATCCATATCAAATCATAAAAGCAGACAAAAATTAAAGCCAAACCTATCGGCCAATTTTTTTTGATATTTTGATTTTTGAGGTATACTTTTAAAAGTGGATTTAAAGCACTTATGAAAAACATTAACTTCTGTCGTTATGATTATTGATTTAGACAATAATGATTTTAATCTTTGATTATCAAAACACTAAAGTCATCTTTTTAACATTTGCTTGGTAGCATTAACTCAAGTCTAAAGTACTATTTTATGTGGCACTCTTAGAATTTTTGTATTCATTGAACACGCTGAAATAGTACCATTAAAGTTATGGCGGACTTTCAAAAAATAGTTTGGTCACCTTTTTGGGTGAAAAAATTCAACAAAAACAGGTATTTTTCTTTAAAGATATTTGCTTTTATGACTAAATACAATTAATTACCAAAATAATATGAAATTAAACAATCATAAAATTAAATTCTAAACAGAATTTTAGAGTAAACGAACTTTTTAACCTCATATAACATTCAGATATCAAATACCATAAACAATTAAAATGATTATCTAAGAGAGAAATATTTTATTACTTGATTACAAATATCTTTGTAGTTTCCAAGAGTAATCATTCTATTTTTAAAACAATTATAACATATATCAATAATACTTCTTATTCTAGTCGTGCAATACTATTAAAAAGACTAAGTTTTAGAGAATGAAAAAAAATCAATGGTTGAATATTACATAAATGGTACAAAGAGCTATAACTATCTATAAGTTAAGTATGGGTATCGTTTACAATGTTCATGTTTTACATTTCAATATTTGATGGATTTATTAAAAAAATTTTCCAAAATGAAATCTGATACGGAAAGTACATTTAAATGATTTGTAGAAATAAGAAATATTCGTGAGGTATGGAATGAATCATCGAATTAAGGAATCCAGAATTTCGATTGGTAAGAAATAGCAGTTAGTTGAAGTAGAATGCCTTCTTCCTACTGATGTGAAAATATTGATATATGTTAAATCAGACTCGATCGTAAAGATAATTAGTTTTGAGTACGTTGTACATTAAATGACGGAATAAACATGTTATTCGTAAACTTGTTAAATTGAAAATAATTTACTTTTGAGTCTTTTGTCTTCATTGCCATAAACTATAATTCCCTTCGCAAATATTAAAGCTTTTTCAAAAGAGATTGTATTCAATTGTTTAGTTATATATAATTATTTTGTGAAATGTATAAAAAATGTTATAGTTGGAGCTTTAGCATATAAAATATAGCAAATACAAATATGTGGATGCTATTATTTTCGTGTCTAATGCCCAAATGGAAATGAATAAATATTTTTTTGCTAAATATGCTAATATAAATGAGTAATTTATTTCCATTATTTTGCAACAGAGCCATAGTAGCCTTCTCCTGGATATGGAACGCCGTTACCCTTTCTAAGCTCGCGAAGATGCTGGCAATTTGCCAAAAAGTAGCAGAAAGTGACAGCACAGCAATCGTTGCAGCATTCGTATTCCATATTTCTACGGCGCCTAATAATCTGGCGGACATTAAAGCTGCTAACTCCGCAGCACTTCGATCTGCAGCAATCATATCTGCCTTCAAGATGTAGTATCACTTCTGTATAAATGCAACATGGGCAGAACCATCCTAAGCAGCAGACACTGCAGTCATCTAAGCATCCGCAAAGCGGGGTTGTCCAATCAGTCATTTGATTATTTGATTGAAATTAAACTTCGGTTTTTTATATTGAATAATCAAACACTAATTTAAAGAGGAAGTTAATTAATATTTGACAAAAGTCAAGATATGTTTTGGAAGAAAACCGAAAGCATTGAAAAATGATCAAGTACTTATTTTGATATTCATAATACAATTGCAGAGGATAGCATCTTTTATTATCTAAGAGCCGTTATATTGAGTTGAAAAATTTTATTGTGTTCATTCAATTATGAATGCAATGTCATAGTAATATATTAAGCTCTTATAGGTCGATCTTTTTTTAACTTTTTCCCTCCTCTACCACCATCCTTAAATTATAACTTGTGTTCCATATTAAGTTCTGTCAAAATGTAAGCTATTCAATTCTATCGTCGGGGGAGTATCACAAATCTATCAATTTTTTTGTAAAAGTATACAAAAACATATGGTGTTCAATTAGTTTATAATAATATAAATATTAAGATTATCCAAAATAAGAAAAACTAGGTTTTGAGAACACTTTTGAGATGATAATCAAAATATTTTGATTGAAAAATAATATATTATTTATCAGATATAGAATGGATTTTTTCAAATTTAAAAATTCTGAAAAATAAACAGTTTTGTAAAGTAAAAAAAATGAACGAAAACTCTAGACCTCGTATTCCAAATGAATGGGTAAGATATATGTATGAAAAACTTGAAAGTGGTGAGTAAGGATGTCAATTTGGAAGAAAAGTGAGAAAATTCCTAAAATGCTAAAAATGAATTTTGCAAACGTGCTTTTTTATCTCATTTTTTTGATTTTGAAAAAAATTTGGAGAGAAGAACTCTTCGTTTTTGAATTTTGTCACGATAGTTTTAAAGTATATTAGACACATGTATTGATATTACTATTTTTGTATATTTTGAGAGAAAATCCCTAAAAAGTGAGAAAATCTGAGACGGTTTGAGAAAATATATAAACTATTGAAATTTTGAATTAAACTTCTAATTTGGAAAAAAGAAATTTGGAAAGAAGAAAATTCAAAAATCGAGATTTAAACTCAGTATCAAATGGAGAACAAAATGTTTCTTCATATGAAGGAAAAAAATTTTCTTGAGAAGAAATAGAGTTTTTAAAATTTTATTGTATGTAATGAAATAAACAAATATTAAAATTATTTTTTGATAACAAGAAAATTCCCAATAGAAAATATTTGAGAGAAAGAAAAAAGAAAATTGAAAAATATTACTCTCCTTTATATTTCATGAGATTTTAAATTTATTCTCATAAAATTGACAATTTTATACGTTTAGATGAAAATAAGTGATTTTGGTTGAAATAGAAATTATTATTTGCTTACAGCTATCAAATAGATTTTTGCTATTTTGATTAAAATTTGTTAATCAAATTAATAATTTTTTTCTAAATATCTTAAATATCTGGATCACTCACATATACAATGAATTGAACGATAAAAATAATACAAACTCAACTAAGTTTCCTGTCTTTCAACTAAAAAAAATTATGCAAATTAAATTAAATTGTTTATTCAAATATAAAACAAAGATGAAGTAATTACAGTTATCATAAACTTTATGAATAACTCTGTAATTGGTTCAGATTTTCGTAAAAATATTTTTATTAATATCGATAAGAATACGTTTACCTACTATCACAACATATCGATAAACAAGAGTAGAGTGATTTTTATCATCGAAACTTTTTAAAAGCTGTAAGCTGGAAGGAAAAATCTTGTTTTTTCTGAGTTAGTTGTAGAACTATTGATGCACGAGTTATCATTGTGATGTAGAAGGATGTCAATGTACTGACTGAAGGATATGAAGTGAATTGAATTTCATTGCATTTCAATTTGATCAAAATTTGTTGAAATGATATGAATGTGTCAACATCTGTATCACTCTCTTTCACTCCTTCCCTATTCTTTCGAGAACGAAGCTAGCTCAGCTTTCGCTGAGCGAATTGACACTTTTGATGTCCTAAACGTACATGCTCTCAAATTTATCGAAAAAAATTATACCACCTAAACTAGTATATTCTTATTTTAAATATGATATTATCCTTAGAATCCACACTAGAATATATTTAAATCAACTTTTAAAAAAGTTCGAATCCTGCGCGTCTCACTTTTTAAATTTTCGAAAAGGAAAATTATATTCTCCTAAAATGAAAACAATTTTCCGAATTGACATCCTTATGGTGAGTTAACATACGCAACAGTTTTGAAAAAAGTTCCATATTCTTATCAAAATGTTACAATTTTCAAACAAATTTCAAGAAATACTCTCAAAAAAGCATTCAAAGAAATCGGTGGTACACCAAAAATTAAAAGTGGTCCTCCACAAGAGGAATTAACTCCAGAATTAATTTTGAAGGTTCAGAATTCTTATGAAAATTACAAATGTGGGGTTCAAAAATTGTATTGGACTCTCAATATGAATCCAAAACAATTTCAAATCAGTTACAATGCAGTTATTAAGGCAGCAAAATTTCTGGGAATTTACAAAGAAAAAGATAAAAGTAATCCAAAAGCATATTATGTGGATTATGAAGCAATTCTTCCAAATACAATCTGGCATGTGGATATTCATTTTTTGAAAGAACCAGAAACTTTACCGGTTTATGGAATAATTGATGACAAAAGTCGTTATTTGTTAGCATTGAAATTGCTTCGTAACAAAAGTTCAACAGAAACTTCAAAAGTGGCAATTGCAACAGTTCAAAAATATGGAGCACCTTTCTGTTTCTGGTCAGATAACGGTAAAGAAAATGAGGGAGAGTTCACAAAATTTTTGAGTACTTATGACATTCAAATCAGAAAATCAGCTCCATACATGCCACGTCAAAATGGCAAAATTGAACGCCTCTGGCCATCACTGGACAAAAATGCTCCAAAGTCTTCAGAATTTGAGAGCATCAATCAGGAATTGGAAGAATTCAGGCAAAAATACAATGACATGCCACATGGCGCTCATCCAAAAATTGGAGTTCGACCATACACTCCAAGAGAGGTTTACAACAAATTTAAGAAATGGACCAAGGATGATAAACCGCTCTGGAAAAAATGTGTTAATAAGCAGTGGGAAGTTGAAGAGATTCCAAACTATTGAAATATTCTATATTTTTTTCAAAAATTCTCATTCAAATTTGAATTTGGTTTTCAAAATTATGAATAAACATTATTTTTATTAAACTTGATTTTTAGCTCTGAAGAATCAAAAGAATTTAGCGAGAAAGAATATGCAGCTCACATAGGGGTAGATAAAGATATATCTCGAAAAAAATTGAATTTATTGTAAAGAATGAAGAAGTTCATTTTAAGATTGAGTTGATTTTCAACCAAAACGAGAGAGCATGCAGGCAAATGAAATTCGAAAAGTGAAAGGAATGACATATGCAAAAGAAAAGATTCAAATAACGCAAGCGAAATATAGATCAGTTAAAATCAGAATAAAATTTCGATCTTTTCTACAGGGAACTAAAAGTGAGAAAACTTGTTCGCAATGCGAAATGATTGCGAACAAGTTTTCTCACTTCAGCGAGGGAATTGTTCCTTATGATGCATACATTATAAATATATACATCATAAGGAACAATTCCCTCTAGATAGCTGGGAAACTTTCTCTAAATAACTTATCATTTGGAGAAAGTTTCCCAGCTATCTACTGGGAACTAAAGGCTATGAGGCACTAATATATAATCAGTGCCTCATAGCCTTTAGTTTGTTATTAAAAACGAGAAAACTTGTTCGAAATGATAAACAATTTCGAACAAGTTTTCTCGTTTTAAGGAGGGAATTGTTCCTTATGATGCATACATTATAAATATATACATCATAAGGAACAATTCCCTCTAGATAGCTAGGAAACCCTAAATTAACTATTAATCTTTGAGATATTTTTTTATTGAGGTTAATACGTTTTTCTAAATAATTAAAATGTAAAATTTTGATTGTGAACTCATCTCTAATATTTTGGCTCCTTAATATATTTGAATCATGATCTTTGAGAAGAGTTCTCAAAAGTATTCACAAAAGCTATTTTTCCTTGAAATTTAAAAATCCTGTTTAAAAAAAAAAAAAAAAAAAGGGACTGGGGGCTCCAGGCACTTCGTGCCCTCTAGCCCCTGAAGATATTTAGTATAACATGCAGTTTATATAAAATGAGGTTTTTTTTGGGGGTGTGGGGGCTTCCAGGCACTTCGTGCCTTCTAGCCCCTAAAATTTTTTGAAAGTCGTTGCTGTTGACTTTTTGGTAGAGGACTCAAAATAGTAGAACTATGTCCGGACAAGTAAGAGTCTATCGTCGCTACAGTAAAGTTACGGGCGTTCCAAGAAGTATACTTTGAGAAGCCTTTTCTGTCACTTTTCAGGTAAAAACATTTTTATTATATATATATAAAATGAATTTTACAAAACCACCACTACCCTTCTTTGGAAATAAGAGTAGATGTAAAGATATTCTATTGAGAGAACTTAAGAAACTACCGAATGGTCTAACATTTGTAGATTTGTTCGGTGGAAGTTTCTATATATCCCATCTGTGCCATACCGTATTCCCAGATGCAAAGATTATATGCAATGACTTCGACAACTATATGAACCGTCTCAAACATATACCAGACACAAACAAAATATTGAAAGAGTTAAAAGAAAAGATACCTATAGGTAAGATGGAACGTATACCATTAGATAAGAAAGATATTGTCAGAGAGGTTTTGAAAAAAGCAGAGTATATTGACTGGGATAGTATATCTTCTAGACTATTATATAGTGGTTCTATAAGAGTTCATGACATTGAAACACTTATGTCAAACGTTTTATATCTTAACTATACAAAGGTTTTCAAAGAGAACATAGAAAAATATACTGAGGGTATAGAGTTTGTGAGATGTCATTGGACAGAGTTGTATGAAAAATATAAAAACAAGGAAAATGTTTTCTTTATAGTAGACCCACCGTTCTATAACACATACGATTTTCAATACCAAGTAGACTGGACTTTGAG